TTAAGTAACATGGTGCGGCGAAGGCACAAGGCATATATTTATTGAACGTCGTGCAGCAGCGCGAGAATGTGTATATACGGGAGAGTTTGAAAAATCAGAGGGAAGAGAGGATGAGCAATAATCGTTATAAATACATTTTTGTACGAAATATATCTAGCCCGACGAGAGGGATGGACCGACAACGATCAACAAAGCAGCTGTCGTCGTCAACGTGAATAAACAAATACACAGATGACGGAGCGAAGCTCACAGTGAGTGTAGTGTTGTGTATACCATTTAGAATTGGAAATGTAATTTAGAATTAGAATGTAAAAATACTATGTATATGTACATTAATCAGTTAATCGTGGTTTGCATTCAATTATGTTACATCATCGATCATCGTCGATAAGAGAGCTTTTTATTTTCGCTTCTATTTTTTATCTTCTTTTTCTCCGTTTCTTTATTTTTTTTTGTTGACCTTTGTTGTACTCGGAGAAGCGGCGCCGATCGTGCCGAGAAATTTCCGTCGACCGCGGTGCTAAAATCTTTCGTTTTTTCTCCTCAACGTCTCATTTCGCATTTAACACGGTATGTTACACATGTCGAAGAACAACATCGATCGGTTGGCACATAAAACGGAAGCAACACTTAGACCAGTCGCGGCGATAATAGTTACGTACAAACTTGAAAGGGAAGGAAGAGAGTACAACGTACTTTCGTTTATTATTGGCGCAACCCTCGGCACAAAGGGATAAAAATGATCTCTCCTACGCGTGAAAAAGTAGAGAATAGAGCCTGGTTTGCAATAAAAAATTGTCGTAAAAGACTGTCGTCGTCATTAAAAAATGTGGCGTGACACGCAAAGGCGGTGGAACACTGGCGATATCAATTTTGGAACGGATACAATTTCGCATATATTACGTCTCTCTACGTGCTTTTTATTCGCATACTCCTCCAAATTCGTTCTCTTTCGGTTTTTTTATTTATTTTATATTTCGTCGTCGATTTGCGATTCGCGATACTCGCGTATTTTATATCGTTCTGTCGCATTTTTAGAAACAATTGTGCTTGTCGTTAATCCCTATTTATCATCGCGATAAAAAGAACGATACAAAGTGAATAATATATCAATATACACCTAAGTATACAAAAGCTCTCTCGATTCGTTTTTTTTCTTTTTTTTCGTAGTTTGATATAATTCGTTCAAGTATTTTCATTTCTTTCATTCCTTTCGTGTCTATCTAAGTGCTATGTACATTATACGTTTATATATATATATATATGTATATATATACATGTAAAACGATTAATTGATTCTTTTCCATATCCTTAATGATTGTATAATTAGGATTGACTATGTCTTAGAGTAATCAACGAAATTACAAGTGTTGTCGTTATTATTATGTAAAATATCAAATATCATACGTGTTAGATGGTATGTCCATCTCCAAGGTACCATTTTGGACGAATAGCGGTCCGTCTAACATGCCTAGCACTTTGATGAGCAAATACTTTGGAGATTACATAAATCTAATAATAATCTTCAGGTAATATTAAGTATAGATGATTTGTTTTTTTAATTACAAATATAAAACATGTATATGTAAATAGAACTCTTAATTATGCGCGAACATGTTCATCTCTAATTGAGCATACGTGAATTTCTTATCATCAGTCTAAGCCGAACTGTGCGGCTCCATACACAACGGCGGTTTAACAATACTCTCTCTTTCTCTTTTTTTCTCTTTTCCTCTCTTTTTGTCTCTTATAAGCTTCGTAGAATCTATTGTGTTAACAAATAATCGCTGTAATGAGAAACAACAATATATATGCGTACGCTACGGAAAAACGTTATTCATAAAACTTTCAAACAATCTCTCCGCGATGAGCGATGTGACGCACGTGACCGTCCGGGCGGATAAAGTATAATTGTTTCCTACAAACAATTCCTCACCACTAACGGTGAGGTGTGAAAGATCCCGGAAGATCTTTTTTTTTCGTCGTCGCAGATCCGTTTCTCTTTCTCTTTTTCTTTCTTCTTTTTGCGATCCCTGGTTAAGAACACCATTGTAGGGAGACTTTATCGCGCCGACGAGCAGACAGGATTTCGCGCGGGAACGAACAATGGAATTATATATATATATATATGTATGTATATATACTATATATGTAAGCGGCGAAATGATAACAATTATTATAATTATCGTAAATCGTCACGCGCTGCTACGTCGGCGACGATGATGTTCTCCCTATCTTAAGAGAGACTTCGCGACGTCTTCGGGACTTGCACCTCTCATTGTCACAGCCCTTTACCGCCGGAATGCAAATGCATCGTGCGTTACATGGCTCCCTTGTTGCAATATACAATATTCCCCCCTTCCCCTCCCTCTTACGATAGGCCAAACGCATCGAGTTTCGTCGTCGTCGTCATCATTTTTTTTCAAAAATATATATACGTTGACTACTTAGGCTTTCGACGAAGAACGGAAAGACGTTGTCCAATCAACGGGATTAATTTTCTTTTTCTTCCTTGCGCGGATATACAGCGTTATTACCTTCTCTAAGCAATACTTCGTATATAGCCTAGGTAATAGTGAAGACCCTCATATGATCCATTTGAATTACTTGTTTTTTTCTTGGCTTTTTTTTTGAATTTTTTTCTCTCTTTCTTTTGATCGCGTGTGAAACACTGAGACATTATCGCAATACTATTTACATGATTTAATCATAATTAGTAATTGGAAATAAATGCAAAAATATATGTATATGTGTGTTGAACATTTAGCTAATAATACGTAATATCCGCGATAATGCATGACGCGAATATCTTCCTCCTGTCGGCAGAGAGTACCTTTTATACCCCCCTTTAACTAAAAATCATTACGTAGCAATTTAAACTTACGTACTATTGTCTTTGTTCGAGATATCACTACGCCAAGACATTCACTGGTATAGCTCTCCCGTTCTTTTGTTCCTCTCTGAAGCATCTCTCGCTACGTCTCGGGTATCTTGATTTCGCGTTAACAATCGCTCGCGAAGTAGAATCACGATAATCGGAGTTTGCGACCCAAATTGCGATGTCGACGACCCGATCGAACGAGTCCGCACTCGTCGTGTGCCTTTGATATTCTCGTATATCCCGGTTTTCGATTCATAAACGCACTTCTAGATGTACACAAGCTCAATCCGTTCATGTTCTCTCGTGGCGAGAAGCTTGGATCTCTTATTTCGGTTAATTGGAATTCCCAGTAAACACAAACGTACGTAGATTTGTTTAAACGAGCGATCGATCGTACACGATTAACATCGTAAAAATCGGCGTAATACAGCACATGGCCGTTTAACATATATTTTATATGTATATCGCGTGTGTTTAAGAAGGTAAAAGGTATTTATCAACATGTATACGCGGTCAACGGACTCTATCTATAGTATTGACTTTAGGATCGGCAGTGAAAACTCCGTTTTCTACGTACGATACGTGTCAGATTGGTATTTTTTTTCCTTTCGTTAAAGAGTTACTCATAAGGGATAAGAATCGCAGCGTAGCTGTATAACATATATAAATGCAATATAAAACACAAGTAACTCTAATATAAATAAATGAAGCGCGAATGTGAATTATGATATGCAAATTGCATCATGTTAACAAGATACAGGTTGTTTACTAGAAACAACGATTAGTTTTCAAATCGTCCTAAGTTTTCATGTATGTATTTTCTATGCGATGCATAGGATAATCTGGAGTCAATTTGAAGGGTAAAAGTGTAAAGAAAACTATAAAGATCGAATGTAAAGAGGAATGTTCCTTATCAATTCTAAATTGGAAAAAATATTTCAAAATTTTCATGCACTCTCAGAAATACAATTCAATGTAATTCAGACATGTTGTATTAAATACAATATATTCTTCTTTGTTACAATTGACTCCAGATTCACCTACTTGTTCTCGCAGGGATCGCAAGATCCTGAATGCCCTCGTAAAACGCAAAATGATGGACTCGTTGGATATTCTTGCCGTTTAGTGCTAAAAGTGGCTATATCCTGGCATTAAATGGTGTTTCACCGAGTGGAAATGTTGAAATTCGAGATCAAGTCGCCACACATTTAGCGCTAAACTCGACTATCTAGCATATCGTAGACATTGTGTTCAAGGAGAACGCCGTTAACTCAAATAGGATCATAAATGGTACGGATGGAGGAAACGGGAAGGGAAAGAAAACCTTAAACCTCGCCGCGCTATCGCACTCTTTTAGATTTTCCAAGCGTTCCTCTTTGTAATAACGATTGTCTCGTCTCCCTCAGCATCGAAAACGTCGGGATAAACCGATTTATCGACGCAAAAGTAAACAATGGACGGTCATGACGGATATGCCCACTCGTGCGTGCGTAGTTGCGAGCTCTAAAGGGGCAGTATTGTGCGATCATTAATTAATATTGCTATCAACTATTTTGAAAATCAATGTCGATAATCGTGCGCGATAATCGTAAACATGGAAATTCATATCGATACCTTGGAACTGGGATAACCAATTTAGCTTATAAATTGGAAGACAGATGAATAAACTTGTGTAATGAAGAGATTATTGCAAATTAATTCTAAAAGTAGAAATTTGCAAGTTGAATAAAAAAAACATTTTGAATATAAAATATTTAAAATGTTGTACAAATGTTATTTAGCATTATAGTTTATAGTGATATTATTTTATAATATTTTCCTATAATGCTTGGTATTATATTGATATAATAAAGTATTGATCATTTAATAACAAACTTATAATCTATAGTTTTCCTTATTATAATATTTTGAGATCAATCAAATATTTTGAATGATATTTTCTTCCTTCCAACTTTAAGCTATGGAATGATTTGTGCCAAGTGCCAAGGAAAACGGATATATATCCAATGATATTTATACTGACAATAATATCATCAGTGTTGATCGTCAAGTTAATCTGCAATCGAATTGCAGATTTAGAAATCTACATTTCAGTATCAGTCACACGTTCAGAGTGAAGAAAATCGCTTTTCGGGTGATATCTCAAAGTCTTGCGGATTTCTCGATAGTCGTTGATACCTGCATAGTGATATCTAAATATAATCGTTATGATAAATAGGTACAACCGACGTGAAATAATCAAAGAATGAAATAATTGCCGCGATTTTTTCTCTTTATCTCTCTGATTACGCGCGTGTGTATTTACAGAAAATATACTTTCCTCGATAAAATCGGTGTCGATTTGGAGCTTCGATCGTATGCTGATTATGCTGATCGCGATTTTTAGCGGATACTAACGCTAAGGCGAGCGGACAAAGACAATGAGTTAGAGTAGGAGTAATGGTAAAGTTGGGGAAAAGGCAGGATAGCGGAAATGGAACAATAAAACCATCCTCGAGTTTTTTTGGAGTACGCTCGCGCATGCTGGCGCGATCGTTCTCTCTTTCTCTCAAGGTCGTCGTCGCTCATCGAGTATTCGATTTTTATATATATATATATATATATATATTTATATATATATATATATATCCCTAAGATTAGAATTTAATCGCATAGGAGAGCCCCGCGCATGTCTCCTCTCATCTAGGAAGTAGTCGCGTGGAAGGGAAAGGCGTGTTTACAGCATGTTTACCTGGTGCACCGCTCTCGTCGCAATGTTCTTTTCATTCTCTCCCTTTCTGTCTTTTTCTATGTACACACTTTCGTTCTGCACCAAACAGAGTCTTCGGAGATTGTTCAGGCGCATATGATGATGAGTGCCAGGACCTTAAAGCCATGATGCCGTCGATCCGCTCGTCGTCGCTCCTGGAGATGATGGGTGACGATTCGAACGATGCGAATGATTTAGAAGAGGTTCCGTCATCATGACATTTCACGTCATTCAAAGACGCGTGCTCCTCTCCGTGACCGCGACCGGTCGACGGTCCTCGTCGTCGTCCTGGGCGACGGCGCGGTATTTGCCGCGCACCGAACTGGGCCCGAAGATTGGTGAGCCTCAGACAAGATGGCCATCGATGTCGGAATAACTCGGTGTTGCCGCGAACGTTGACAGCGGGTGACTCTGGCAGGGTGGCGGCGGCGGCGCCGGATGCGAGTGCGGATGCGAATGAGGTCCGCCGTTGTTGGCGACCCGGGCAAACGTCGCGGGCGGCGGCGGCACTGACGGCGGTATCGGCGACTTGGTGCCCGCGGTCATCACGGTAACGTCGGGCGGCGGTACAGGACGCGGCAGCGTCCTGGTGCGCGTCAAGGTGCCGGTGCCGGTGCCCACCAAGTGTCCGCCCATTATGTGACCCGTCGAACCCATAGACGTGGGATAATAGGGCCCGCCAGAGGGATCGCCGATGACGGGCGGTGCCGGACTTGGATTGCCGTCGTAGCTCATGTAGCCCCGACCATTGTCCATCTCCACGCTGTAGAAGCTCACGTCGTTGGGCGGCGCCGGGCTCGGATTACCGATGTAACTTGATTTCGACACTGTAATATTAAAGGATAATATATACATTGCTGTGAAAACATTATACAAAGTAATGTAGATGTTAGAAGATGGATATTAGACAATGTTATAGAAAAAAAGTAATGTTATAGAAAAATAACAATTGACAGATTATGCGTATGTTATGATATTATTGCGATTCATCCAGTAATTGTACGTTTGGCTTGAGTGACTTCTTTTCCTCCTGTGTTTTCTGTCTGTCCAGGTGTGAAGAAGATGCAAATCATTGAATACTTTGATTCGCTATATGCAGAATATGAGTTTATTTCAAATTATAATGGAAAATATATAAGTGATATATTTTATCGTGTTTGCATTCTTATTATTTAAAAAGATGTAAATGTAATGCGAATTAAAATGTACCCGAGAGAGTCCCACTGGCAGTAGTTCGCTGCGGTGGCGAATCCATGTTCATGGATGTCTGCATGTGATTGCTGCGACGACCGAGGGTGCCCTGATGAACCTGCATCTCTAAACCGCCTTTCCCAAAATCCTGTATAGTTTGATCTATTAAATACGTGCTAGCTGCGGTCTTGCGTCCTTCGTCCTATTGTACAACAAATTAAACAATTATTGATTTGTGATCTGATTCGGTTATGCGGTAGGCGTCATGAAATGGAAGCTAAATTTATTGTTTCAAAAATTTTTGCTTCAATTAACCTCTAATACGATCAATACAAATATTATTTTTAATATATATAATATATAGTTATTTTGTGCATTACACATTATTTTTCTATAATAATAAACCAAAATTAAATAGAAATATTATCTCATGTATGTAAAATTTTTATCTTCTATTTCTTATGCTTTATAATATTTTTATAAATAATGTATATCAAATTTTTTTATATTTTAACATTGAATATCTTATTTTCGATAGAAGTATAAATAGTGGAGTAACAGCAGTTTACAATAACTGGCTTGTCTTAATTAATATTAAAAGATCTACTTAATCACTTGAGCTTTGCGTAATTAATAATTAATTAATGATAAATAAATATTCACTCACGCGCATGAGAGATTGTTTCTCATCGACCAGGAAAAAATGGCGGGAAGAAAAGAGAGGAAGAGGCGTCAAAAATAAGCATGAACAAAACTGCATTCGTGAACATAGATTGACAACTATAAATCGAAAAAGTGCAAATAAAAATGGCGGACCGCGCGATTCGAAATCGGTATTTATAACGTAATAACTTGTCCATATTTCTTTTATATTTTTTAAACTTAGTTAACTTTATAGTTTCGAAAATCTTTATATTAATATATTAATTAATATAAAGATGATAATATGTATATTTATATTAATATATGTATATTTAAATCAAGATAATAATTACACACAGAAAACATAAAGTTAATTAATTAATTATTAATTTTACTAATCGATAATAGATCAATTCGTTTATAATTAGTCTCTATATAATTAGCGACTTATTAATAATTATGCAATCAATATATAATAAAATAATCATAATCGTGTAATCTGTAATCATTTATAATTAACGACTCTTAATCGCGATAATTCTGATCGTCATATTTAGCATAAATAATTAATAATTTTCATTGACAGGAATGTTGTTACCAAGTTCAATCTAGCATCGGTACTTTTTATTCGTACGGCTTGGTATTTTAATTTGCGACGCGTTAATTTTGATTTAAAACGCGATTGGAAATTCCATTCGTGAGATAAAGTAGCGTCTTATTATCAATAATTAGAATTTTATTATCAATAGAAATTTTTTGATCGTGATTGGTCAATTAAATGTTACTTTACTCTATGCCTAAGATTTCCGAACGCACCCTTAATTACGCTCGCAATCTATGCAATTTTTAATTCGTGCTTGCTTCTCGCGCCTTTTTTCCCCGCCAATTTGTCCCGCCTTTTTTCTCACTCGACGACAAGCTTATTTTTCGCGTGCACGAGAATATTTTACTTGTTATAGTTGTTCATCAGACATTAGAATTTTTAAACGTCGATCACGATATTTGGTAATTATTACTTTTTCGCAAATAAAACATATATCGATCTATTTTCGATTCTCTCGTTCTCGCGCTCAAGTTGAAACAACACGAAGTTGCCGCCGCGTCGTTCCAACACAAGTAGTGCATCGCGTGAACCAGACGGACGCATCGAATCGTAGCTCCTCGCAATTTAATATTTTACTCGTCGCGAGTGTAATAAAACGTCGAGGAATGCCGGAAGGGACGATTGGTAAGCATTGTGCAAATTATATTAACGTGAGATTAATCGTATCTTCGATATTGCGTTACTGAAATGCTTCCGAAGCATTGCATCGAATTTCGATCCTTCGAGTTCGCGTCCTTTTCACGTCCCAGAGACGATTTATTTATCAATCTACCCGGATTCAGTCGGCATCGATTATTTGTACAAAGCTTAATTATCGCATGTGCAATCGAATTTTCGCACATCTCGATTGATTCGTAACGATTAATTATCAATTCTCTTTATGCATATATCTCTCTTCCTTTCTGTATAGATATATATCTCTCCCCTTCGAACGGCCTTGCCGTGACGTCGCCGTGACGTCGCCATGACGTCGTCGTGACGTCGCTGTGACGTCGCGGAACATCCTGCATTTTCCCGCGAAAAGTTGCCGGGCGCGCGCGTTTTCTTCAAGCTCGCGTAATGAAAGCATCGGAATGCCGGTTCGTTGCGTTTCGTATCACGTATTATCATCTAGAACGCGTTGCGAGTGCAATAATAGTCAAGCATACGAAATGGGTGAGCATTTTATTGTATTAATTACTCATATATACGATCGCGATTATCGTGGATGAACCCATTTTCGGCATTATTGAATGTGATCTTGTAAATAAATATTTTGCAAGTATGTCGTAGAAAATGATAGACGAGTATCGTATCGCAGTAATTAGTGTCCGCGAGTGTAATTAGTGTTTTCGTGATCGATTCTTGTCCGCTTGAGTGAATATTCGAAGAGGAGGGTGACGATGAGGAGGACGATGCAGAAATCACAACGGAGTGGTGCGTAAATTTATTCAATCGTTAATTGACTTAGCATATATATTATTTTGAAAAAAGAATTCATTGTAAATCTACATTTACGAAAAAATAAATTATATATTCTTGTCCAATCATAAAGATAATAATAAATGTAAAATTTTTTTAGCATTAAATTTGTTAATATTTTCAACTAAATAAATAGTAAAAAATGGAAAAAAGCATGTCAATTATAATTAAATAACTAATACAATTAATTTCTCTTTGTCATATTTAAATATAATTTATAGAATTATTTAATTATGAAAAAATTATTATTTTATATATGCCGTTTAGATTTTTGCAAATAATTTTAATTTTTATTTGCAGACCAACACATCCACATCATTTGTGCCGCATCTTTCGGTGAGTCATATAAATGTTTTCTCAATCTCAAATAAGGGATAATGAAAAAGTGAATAATGAAAAAAAAACTATTTTGTCGTCATGATTGAACGCCCGAAGTCAATTATTTTTATCTCATTATTCCACTATTCTTACTTTCATTATATACGAAATAATTTAATATTATTGCAAGAAAGGAAACTAATATTTTAATAAGTAAGAAAGCAACTTTATGAAGCATATTATGTAGAAAGTTTCTGGCATCGTAAAATCTCGTTAAATTAAAATGTTGCAAATTCGGGCAGCTTTCATGGCAGCATTATTATAATGTTTGAATTAAGAGATATCTGTTAGATTTACCTGAGAAGATTATACTTAGCTGAATTAACTCTTTGCGCTCGGATGATATGAAATCATTATGACATAAATATTGTATATGACAATATGTCACAAAGAATCAGTTTTATATAAAAATTAAAGTACGTTAAACTGCAAAACAATATTAAAATACTAGTATAATAAAAAATAGATTTATTTTAAATTGTTATTGTGTTTTAAATCAACTTTGTAATTCGAAACTTCCAACAAATTTCACTAAATATATACAAATTTTCGCGTAGCTTCGAAATAATTAAATTAAAATAAAATAATATCATGTTTAATAAAATAATACATATTATTCCGAGTGCAAAAACATGGTTGAAAAATAAATTAAAATTAAAATTAGCGACAAAAGGAATAATATTATTAATACAAGTAAAACATTGCGCGACATATTATTAGCTATCACAATCTCTTGCATTAAAAAATAGATAAAACTGCGAGAAAAGAAAGATCGCGGAAATCGCAAATGAGAAGTAGGAAAAGAGAAAGAAAGCAAAATTAGTAAAACTATAAAAATAGAGGAATGAAACAGAAAGTGTTGCTAGAACTCAAACCTACCCTCCGGAATTATTTGTTACTAAGAACATACTGACTGATGGCACTGACCACGTAATCATTAGCGTCGAAGTTGACATCGCTTTTCTCGTCCGACATTGAACTTAATTCGCCAGTCATGGTGTCGCCGTTCACGGTGGACGGTGCATACATGTCTGCGGTCTGCGATTTATTAATACCTGTGCAAAGATTACACACGGTAAGTACATGCGAGTGACAGAATAAAGGGAGTAACAAGACTACAGTCGCACAAAAGATGAATCAATTATCGAAAGAGATATAATAGAGACTTAAAAGAAATATAATTCGATCTTTTTTTAGTAATTGTATTTTGTATAAAATAAATTTTTTTAACAACTATGTAATTAATAATATAATATATAAAACACATAATAAATTTAATATTTATAAGATTAAATTTATAATAGCAACCTCTATAAATCTATATTGCACAATCAAATAATTGATTATAGTTTTATTTGAATTTAAAATGTGATTTTATGTATTTTAAACATTTTTGGTCAGAGAGCCTACAGTTTTGAAAAAAAAATTTTACTATACTTTCTCTTATTTTCTGGCGCGATTGTAGTCAAAGGCTGGATTGATTTTTAATGTGTTCGTGCAATCCTCTAAATTAGAGTGTGTACGCGCTAAAATATCATAGGTCGTTAAACTTACGAGCTTTATTTCGCTTTCGTACTATGTACCACAACATGATGAAGACATTAACGATAAAAATGATGACGGAAGTCGCCGCTAACGTATAGATATAATTCATTGGAAAGTCGCCCTTTTCCAAAAGGACTTCGTTCGGCAGGTTTTCGTCTGTATTCGGTCCTAAGAAAATAAAGGAGAGAAAAAACATGTGATAAATATTATATTTACCCGTACGCTGGGCCTTCTTTTTCGATTTTACTGTAGCAAAGATTATGGTCGCGGCAATGAGTAGGCAAGCAGAGGCGGAAACAGTGATGATAATGACGATGATGTAGGAGGAACTATTCTCGCTTGATGTCAACTCGGTTGGTGGCGCCTCGCCTGTAACCCAAGCCAATGGCCCATCACCGGTTTATGTTATTCATGCAATGAATGAATCTACATTGTTAGTCAACTTCGAAATCCTCGAAGTTATATAATGCTGTAATACTGATAATATGGCTGTAATTTATACAAAACTACCAATTAAGCAGTAGCAAGTACCGACTTGATTACTTATTCAACTTGTCTGTTGTCTTCTTCTCTTCAAAAGAGCAAACATCCACTAATTTACTGTTCTACTTTCTTCTATATTCATTAAATTAGCCTTAATTAACATTAACTGCGTGAATAATTTGCAATAATTCAGACTTTTTAACTTTCCAAGAATTTTTGAGCTTGTAATTCGTAATTAGGGACTTTAAAAAAATATATTATCGGAAAAATTTCAAAATTAAGTGATACCATATTGTTACGATCGTCGGTATGTATAATTCATGCTAAAAATCATGATATTACATATGATAATCTATGATAAATGATAATGATTTTCGTAAATGCTATATAATGTCTAATGTACTTTATTGCAACTAACTCGTGATATAAATGCCATGCGAACATTCACGAGACACACTAAACGTAATACATGATCAACCTAATTACTGAGTATGATTAATTATGTGAATGCGGGGCAATCGCGTTTAATTATGTTCCGATGATCTGCATAATGATTTAGCAAGCTGTTATTTTCCGCCATGTAGCGTGAATAACGATGTACTATCTAACGCAAATACTTGGCTGCTTGTGAGAGAAAATTGCTAATAATTATAATTTTGCAGTGAGTCAAAGCGGTTTCTATAATTTTACCATACCATTGATTATATATACCTTGTCACGTTCATCTAAACAAATCTTGTAGTTTACTACAAGAAAATTATACCAAAAATTCCAGCACTATTCATTTTACTATTGTGACTATACTATTAATAACGTTAAGCTTTTCTACGCAAGATTTTCTCTTTTTGAATGGGAAAGGGATAAAGGGAAAACTACGGTTTTTAACTACTACTTACGAAGTGTTTGGGCTTTGAGAAGATCCGGCAAGAAGCCGCTTTCTCCCTTCTCGTTAAGAGCTTTCACGCTAAACACATAAGAAGTCCCAAGCGATAGGCCGGATATAGTAGCTTTATATTCGCCAGGCGAGACATCCAAATAGTGATAGCTATTCTCATAATGCACTGCCGCCTCTCGCCACCGTATCATATGGGACGTTGGCAGGCCACCGTCGAAACCGCGTTTCCAAATCAACGTGATCGAGTCGTGTGTAACATTATAGATTTCTAAGTCACTCGGTTTGTCCGGCGGTGATGTGACGTCCAAGTGTATCTCGTCCACAGATTGTCCCATTTTATTCTGCGCTCGACACTCGTAGTTTCCATAATCGTGTGACTTCACTTTATAGACGGTCAACGTTGTTTCCGAATAGAGCTCGGATAGCTGAGAAAAATAAAAAGCAGATAAGAGATACAATTATTTTTTATTTAAAAATATAAATATATTGAAATAATTATTGAAAGAAAGATATTTTTGAAATTATTTAATCGTTATATGAAATTTATTAGGATATAGCTTTCAAGTATATCATTTCCTATTTACGATTCTCTTAGCAACATTTTAATTAAGATATTATCCTTTCGGATTACAACTTTACAACTTTTGAATTTTCGACGGTAAATATCTCCTCAACTGCGTTTAACATGAAAATTCTATCAAAGTGAGATTCGCACGGAGTTAAACGAAGAATAAGATTTACAGTACGCAGTACAATACTGGTGCTTCGGTCAAACAACGCTCTAAAGAAGATATACTAGTAAAGGAAGTTGTTATTTAAGAGATAAGTACGTCTTATAAAGTGACTTACATCACTGTGAGTGATACTGTATTTATTCTCAGTTGCGTTCGGCAATAAAGTTTTCCCATTGAAGATCCAAGTGAAACGCGGCAATGGAGATCCTCGCGCTTTGCAGAACAATTGGACGTTTATTCCTTTGTTCGCTGCTGCCTTTCGCGTCAGCGGGGTGTTTGTCATTTCCGGTTTAACTGCGCATAAAAAGTATCAGTAAATTTCTTTATTACACTTTGCTTTTCGATACGTGAAACGTATCCGGGATATATTTTGCGATGTTTCATGTATTTTACGCGATTTCTATCTTCTGAAATAATTCCTTCTATAAGATGAGTTACAATTAAAAATGGTGAAATTCTTACGGTAATTATTGCGTCAATAACTTCTATGTTACTAATACATCAATTATTAAACATAATTGTTACAATTTGCATATATAATAATGACACAATAACGTTTAAATATTAACAATTTTAATTAGAATTACTTTTCATTGACTTAATAATTGTTTAATCTACAAGTACCACGAGAATAAATGATATTATTATACAGTAATTAATATTAATCCTTCAACTTGACGCTCGATCTAAATTTTTATTTTAATTACGTATTTATTTTAATTACTCATTTATGCGTTATAATATATTGCTCCAATTCCTTCTTTCTGAAAATACGATTAATTTTTGTAGCAATTAAGTTGTGGAGTATTGCTGTTAGATGATATATGACAAATTAAATCAAGGCGATATACGGTAAAATTAAACTATTATGCGCTATACAATTATAAAATTTTGACGATTTCAATCAATTTTTATCGCTCGTTTAATTATTCCTCTTTATTTGAAACTCGGTAGTATTATTAATAATGGAAATGAATTTTTTATTCCAACTTACAATTCGTAATAAATAGAATAGGATCCGACGTTACGTTGCCGATGATATTGTTAACTTTGCATCGATACTCCCCGACGTCTTCCTGGCTAGGGTGTTCTATATGAAGATACGACGTCCGATTAACAAAGGACGTTGAATAACGTCCCGGTAGTTCGGGATTCGATCCGACTTTTTGCCACGTGACGTACTCGTCGCCGATCGGGCTGCCGTCGACTTCGCAAAACAATTTTGCCTCGACATCCGGTGGATAAACTATCCCCGATGACGAAGTGCGTTTGATTTTCGCCGGATCTGCGCAATAACGAAGTAAAACGATGAATTGCGTATTAGCGAGAGAACAAATTTACAGCAAAACATTTACTTAGTATCGAAGATAATCACACACATAGAATATATTATAAAAAGATATTAGAGAAATATTAAATTAAAATTATAAGAAAAATTAGGCAAGAAAATAAAAGTAAACATTTTTAGAATAAACCAATTTGTCGACAATTTTATACAAAAATTCATAAATATTGAACATCGCTGATACTTTTTTAAACGCTTTTTTAAATCGAAAATTGAATTGTACAATTTTGTTACGTGGTGAAAGAAAATGATCATTTACACTTACATAGCACGGTGAGATTTAGCTGATAAAATGTAGTCCCTTCCTTGTTCAGCGCTTCGCATATGTACGTGCCGGCGTCATGACGATCCAATCTCGTGATATTTAACGTAGAACCATGGGCGGTTATTCTTTTACGGCTATTACCTAGTGGCAGACCATCCCTTGTCCACGTGTACTCTGTCGTATTAGGATTGCCACTTGCCATTACGGAAATGACAAAAGGCTCTCCTTCCAAACCGGTTAGTTCGGCTGGATCTAACGGCGAGAATATTGGCTTGTCTAAACAAAACATAATAAATATGTTAAAAATAGTATTGCTTAAAATTGCGATATTTAATATTATATTGAAAAGCAAACATTATCACAACATTATACATAAATAAATTTTTCTCTATTTGATAGAATTAAAATTATTAATTACATTGTGATATTATTGTTTTGTTTCTTTATCACTACATATTTTATAATCATGTAATAATTCAATAAATTTATAATATAGACAATCTTTAGATATTCGAATTATTTAAAAATGTAGGCAAAAGTATGATTTAAAAAATGCGAAAAAAATATTAAATATATATATATATTTTTTCCTATGTTTAATATTTAATATTATGAAAAACATTTTTACGTTGTATATCATGTATTTGTATTTTATTGTTTACATGCATAAAAATGAATATGGTAAATTAATTCTTTAATAATTTCATGTTTGTGCATTTCTTTTTCAATTCATTTTCATTTGAATTTACACTAATACTATGGTTTTCGTACACGCGGGAGTCTATATTATCGTAACGGCGGGAGATATTTTTGCGGTGAAAAATGTCGAGAAATTTACAGGAACATGATCCGATATATTCAGAGAGAGAAAGAGAAGAAAGGACAGAGATATCGGGAGATATATATTATCATACATTGGCGCTCTGGTGCGGAGATTTCCGGGTTGAATGCTTTCATCGTGCGCGATCGTGCTGATCTTCCGCAGGATATATAGATTATATACGTCGTTTAAGAGCAATCTATACTTATTGTTAGATCCCTACACTTACATAGCACATCCAGAGTCGTCGCGTCGTGGACAGATCTTCCCAATTCGGTGTTTTTCGCTTCGCACGTGTACACCTCGCCGTTCTTGTCCACGGTTAGGTCCAGCGTGAGCTTAACGGACGACACGTAGCCGCCGTGTAATCCGGGCTTGGTGTTGTTCTTGGTGCCGGTTACCGGTATCCCGTTATTCCACCACGACATTTCGGCAGGGGGATTGCTGCTGCTCGATTCGCAGATTATACTGCCCTCCTGGCCGGCGTGAAAATCCTGGGGTTCGCGGTTAATCTTTACCCTCTCGGGCGGAACTATAAAAGGTGGAAAAAGTGGACGGTACAGTTCGCCGTTAAAAATATCGCTCTAGCACCACGACGAGATTCTTGCGAGATTCTCGCGGTGGAGAAAAGAAAGTAATTACAGCGTCGTTCAATCATCCCTAATCACGCGCTCTTTTCTTATCGGAAAAAGCAAAAAAAAACTTAACGTCTCTCCATTTATCTAAGTTAATTAATTTAAAAAAATAAATGTAGGAGTAAAATTTCGATAATAAATATGAATAAGCGTGAGTTATGTCTTACAATGGACTTTTAGCACGAGAAGTTTGAGCAGGGGGATCTCGGTGGCGGAATTCGTCGCCTCGCATCGTACGTGAGCATTGTTGTCGGACGCGTTGACGAGCATCGCCAGCTCGCTGGAGACTGCATGATTTCGCTGTCTTACCGTACCAAGTACCTGTTATGGAATATAATATTAATACAACCATCTACGCAGTGGCGAATCTTAAAGTATTCATAGGCGTAAATTGATGTTGAGCCCTCCTCTCTAAAGTGCTTGCAAAAATTAAGAAGGTTCGAGACTAAGAACGAGTTAAAATTCATAATTCGTATATAAGAAACCTTTAAAATATAAAAGCCTTAACTAAAATGGATAAATTCTTATAAATTATAAATTGCCCCATTTTTGCCTGGAACCTCCTTTATTTTTTTACTAGAACAAGTTACGAAGGGAGTCAACGTCTCGTTACTTTTAATAATTGTTAAATTATAAAAAGTGAAAGAGGCGAGTTTTATGCTTTGGGATTATCTGTTCAAAATGCTACTGAAAATTTTAACGAAGCAAACTTCTTCGAAAAGTTTAAGTTTTCAGAGATGCATAAGATATATAATTTTCAACAATATTTAATCAAAAATATCATCAATTCCAAAGACTTGAGAAATGCATTTCGTGTTTGAATAATTAATTATGAGAGGAGTTAATAGTTATTGTGCGCATCATAATATATTTTCCGTAATTCATGAAATATTTCTTATTGGAATTAGAAAGTAAGACGTTGTGTGCTTTTAAAGTTTTTTTGAGTCTACGTATAATTTGCCAACTACTAGACGAACACGTCTCTCGATTTCTCACGTACCTTGCGGTCGTTCTTGTACCATGTTAACGTGGCCAATGGATTACCCGACGTGGCGGTGCACATGAGCTTCAGCACCGTCCCAGCGACTAACGGCGTACTCTCGTCGTATCCGGTGACGGTTAGTTTTGCAGGTGGATCTACGAAATTCGACAAATTTTACAATCGAATTTTATTTATATTTATTTATTTCATTTATCTTTACGTCGTCTTTTATACGCGCTTCTATTATTATATCAATTTTTTCCTGTCACATCCCGGAGCAGCTTAACAAAATGTATATTTTCATTAAAAACAAAAATGCACAGACGTATGGAAGAAAATCTGCGTAATAAATTTGTTTTAAACCATACGGATGTATAAAAAGAAATCTGAAACTGTTTAACATTCAATGAAGGACTTTCAGCTATTTGTAACGATTATTTGTTAAATCCAGTTTTACATCACTGAACATGAGTAGCATTCGTTATTAATCTCGGATTGCCGGACAGTATTATTGATTGGAGAGCGACTAATTGTTTAGTATATTCAGATAGCGAGTAATTTTAATGCATGTAATTACAAGCTGAAAACGCAGTTGATTATACAAGGATTATTTATTTACGACGGAAATTAATGTCGATCGATTACGGTTGTATTATTGCGAGAGTGTATCATGCGCAACATGACGCAATGTCGAATATGTTAAATGAATTCTAGATTCGCGAATGAGAGAGAGAGAAAGAGAGAGAGTGTGTAGGTTGTATTACGTATGCAAGTTTTGGGATCCCGGCGATGCGGTCGATTAATTTGTCATCGCGTGTCGCAAAGATGTCAGCAATAACGGGTAGCAGTGTCATCACGCAATTTCCCTAAACGCGTTACAAGTTAAAGGAACATTTGCGACGATATTTACGGTTTATAACGCACTGTGTACTTGAGAATATCTGCACGTTGAATAATATTTATTTCGCAGCGCTCATTATTTTTATTTTAAACGATACATCTTTTAAATAATTTTTCTCTAATATATTTTCACATCAGAGTCGCAGATATGATTGAATAAAAGATAAAGAAAAGAAAGACTTTTGTATAATAGCAATATTATTAATATATACACATTTGTATTATATTTCAATTGAATCGTATGTTTTCACGTTTAATAGGCAAAAATATAAAATAGTAAAGTATTTTTTTAAGAAGAAAAAAATCTATAGAACGTTATTTACTTTAATAAATGAAACTCCAAGGATATAAATAGCAAGTAAACTTTGCTCTTTTCAATCTCTGTTAGTTTTATTTCAATTTCGCTCCAACAGAGATTTTCGCTGCTACGTGTCCGTTGTAAAATTTAATATCGCCAATTGTGAAAAGTCTTCTCGGTAAAATATCTTACGGCAGTTTCCGGGACACCCGGTACGATTCTTTGACACGAAACGGAAATTAGGTTTTCGCGGACGAGGAGCTTCGTTACAACTGCAATTGTACCCGTTTATGTGTCGCGTTAGACCGAGTGACCGATGAAATGCATACGATAAAAAACGAGGATATACACACATATATATTATACATATATGTACTCACATATCACGTTAATGGTATGTGTGCCGACCACGTTCTCCGTCAGTTTGACGTTAGAAGCGTGGCAGATGACGACGATGCTGCGGCTCTTGTGATTAATGTTGAACGTGACATTCGAGCTGGTGATCCAGCCACCGTTCGGCGCCGGTTCCGTCCTCGAGGAGTTGCTCTCAGAATTACGCCCGTCCACCGTCCACTTTATGTCCGCGGGTGGATTCGAGTTTTCCGTCGTGCAAGTAATGAGCACCTGATCGCCCGCCTTCGCCTCCGTTGGTCCGGAGATGGTGACTCCAGCGGGCGCGACTGTAAATCGTGGAAAATGTGAAAAAAGCTCGCCTCGCCCGAAATAACGGTCTATAAAAATAATGATAAGTCGTAAAATATAAGTAATATAATATAAGTAAAATATAAATAAATAAGTCGAGATAAATTTGCTCCAAGATGCATTAGATTCGGACGAATAAAGATGCCTAGCAATCCTATTAGTCGAAAAGAGATACTTAAAGAAATACAGTACAGCATCAAATTCGGGCTTTATAGTCTTGACATTTTTATAGAGGAAATATCCCGAGCTGAAAACCATTGAATGCCTTTTGAAAAACTAATGTCCCTTCGCTGTTATTTATTTTTAACGCTTTCGACGGTAAAAAGTGTGAGATAAAATTTAGTAGCAAGGCTCTCTTTTCTTCTTTTATCGATAACTACAACAGTGTCGACAAGCGTAACCTTTTACCCCAAGTGTATGCTAAGTCAGCCACTGGTATTTTGTAGCTTTATCCATATATCACGCGAGCATAAAGTTAGCAAAATTTCAATTTAGGTAACGTGAACGCGGTCTCGGCGAAAATAGAGAAGCGGAATTATTTATGCGGTTGTTCCGTCGGCAAGAGATCGTCTATACAAGCCCTTAGTTGTGTGCAATACTATGCCTTACGGTGAAGTAATGGTAAGTGCCACAGACAGGCACCAGACGCGACATTAATAATCTAACACCTTAAATACATTTCAAGTATCACTCGCGAGAAAGGTACGTTGCCCGCAAAATTCGCGAACAATTAAAAAAATTGAAATCTTCGAAATATAGAGCGAAATTTCTATACATATATCATATTTTTTCCCCTTTTTCACTTTTATCTATTTTTAAATTAAACATTGACATCTGCGAACAATTAATTATATACAATTAATATAGTCTATAGACAATTTTGTCATTATACTTTTATAATATACATATTTTTATAAGTATTAACATCAGCATAACATCAACTACAGGGCTATATAATATGTCACTGTTGTCACTTTTCAGAAATAAATTTACATTAAGTGTCGCTAATTAAAGTATGCTCCATAATGTATCATCTAAAAATACATTTTTAATTATGTTAACATCGATGCCGTAATATCGATATAATTTATGGAAATAGGAAAATAAAAAGATGCAGCATTTATTGACGATATTGTATAAAAAATAAAAAATAATATGTACAAAAGAAAATATGTAAAAAAGAAGAGAAATTTTTCTCTGAAAAATGATTAAGAGTTCTGGCTTTATTTTTAATAATTCTAGAGTTCTTGATAGTAACAAATAGTTTTGGTCATTAAAGAACGAAAATGCCTTAATGAAACAAACTGAGACACTTCACACAGCGTCTCACTTTGTTCTACAATATTTTCCTTATCAGTAATTGTCAAGATAAAAAATGTATAGTTCTATAAAAAGAGTTCTACCTTCTAAAAAAAATATATTAATTAAATTAAAATTAAAACAACTGAATATCTACAGATATTGAGATAAGATTGCACTAACTTATATGCATGTATTTTATTTGTTACAGGTTCTCGCAGTCAATTCGCGCGTAGCTTATCAGCAATAATATCTGTACCGAATAGATCGTTGCTTCGTGTTTTCGATTATAATTTTCTCATCGTGCAATGTACGCGAAACACGCGTGCGATTCACGCGTCGTGTCGGGAGTGCCGTGTAAAGTGTCGGACGATCGTAATTATTCGTGTTTTCGCGAGTGTCGTGAGTGCTACGAAGGACCAAAAGAGGAGGAGGAGGCCTGGGGAGGCGTCGGGCAACAGTGGGACAACTGTGAGGTATGCAAAATAAAAATTTAAAAAAATATATATTCATATACACACGCATGTACATATAAATATAATTTGAATATTATGTTTTCAGATTAATGTCCTGTGTACTACAACTATTTTGCAGTTATCGGTGAGTGAGAAATTTATTTGACAACATTGAAGCTGGCGTCTCAAAATTTCATGAAAAAATAAAGAGTTCTGGTTTTATTTTCATCGGTTATAATTATTTGTGAGGTCCCACGAAATGACGCCAGCTTCACATGCACGTTATAATATGCAATTGTTACTTACAAAGTACGGTGAGGTCGACGTGCAACTTCATAGGCTGCACGCTCATGATGTTGGAGACCTCGCACCTGTAGCGTGCTTTGTCGTCTTCCGCCCGGGCCATGAATGACAATATGTTCTCGCTGACACCGGCTCCTCTGCGATGAACCGCTGAAATCCTCTTGTCATTTCTATACCAAATGATCTCCGCCGGCGGATTCCCACCGCGCGATCGACACGCGAGCTCCACGTTTTGGCCCCGTTGTACGGTTTCGCCTTCCGTGTATCCTTCTATGTACGGCGCACCAGGTGGATCTGTGCAGAGGATCGGACCCGATGCCGTCGTTATACCAAGGCTTCGCGCTAATGAAACTTGTTTGAAAGCTTATCCGGATAATCGCGACTGAAAGCCATTCTCAGTCATTCTCGAATAGCTCAAAGAATGACGTATACGCGAAATTTGAGAGAAGATCTCTCTTTACAAATATGTAAATTTGCGTCGCAGCCTTTCAGGACATTATTACATTGCGTCACGTAATAAATTCAACATAACTTATTATGCATTAATTTGGGTAATAATTGTGTGAAAACAATGTTAAGTAGGTTGTATCGCGCATTTCTAATTTAGGCAAATTCGACTGTTTTTAATTCTCTAGTTGTCTTATTCCATTTGGTAAGTACATTTCAAGAGAAATACTTTTTATACTTTTGCATACAAATGAGACCTACCAAAGGTAGGTCTCCCGTATAAATAAAATATCGTAAAGTTAAAGAAAGAGGACGAATATTCTGTTTTCGCGTGGAAATTATACTTGAAAGCCCGATAGATGCAAGATGACGAATTAATATCGATTTATTTTCGATTATAATGACAGTCCGGTATCTAAGTAATTTGATCTAAACGTTCACTAATTTTTTTCACGACTGAAAACCACGTTGGCATATGATGCACCGCGATATATAAATGATGCAGATGCGTCGATCGACTTACAGAAAACGGAGAGCGTAATAGTCGCCCGCATGGGCCTGTCTGGCGGTATAGCTGGATGGAGAGCCTCGCAGGTGTAATCCATCCCATTATCGTCTGCCGTAGGCATGATGGTAATGGAACCGTGAGTGTCGTATTTGAGCAATTCCCTGGACGTCTCTCCAGGCTTGGTCGTCTCCTTGTCTGCAACATGGGCCGCGCAAATCGCGAAATAAATACTACCTGCCATCCGCTTTTACTTTATGGCCGTCAAAATTAGCCATTTTTTCTCTTCGATTATTACGTTCTTTTTATATTACTCGATCATCTCCGGAATGCAAACTAGGGAATTGTAATCAATTTCCCGCTAACACTCATTTTTTATTATATCTGCCAAATCAATCACTTGTGTGATTATTATTATTATTTATTATTTCATATATGTTATCAGATAATTTCAGAAACGTAAAAGGTATTACATCGACGTTTTGTTAATTTATTTTTTTACAAGAGATATAAATTTCGCTGAAATATATATTATTAATTTCCCATCTTTTTACAATCAATTATTTGTTTAAGAATTTTATGAAATGCTTTTTCCTTTACATTTTTTTACAAAAATATATGTTGATCGCATTGCATAAATTTGTATCGCTAACGTCTTGTATTATCACGAAATTAAGTCAAATGTGTAGGTATCGATTTGACTGAAGTCTTGTGAGCAAGACACTGTAACCATTAGATTATTTGTCCATGCAAAAATATACAAGCTGTCGAATTAAAACTCGCGAAGAAAGCTGAATTATTCATCGCGATGCGGCGCGCGTGAACGCGGAGATGCATAATTTACATTAAAAGCCGAACACGCAACGAAAATGAGAAAGATACGGCCGGATTTTTTTTCACCGTGCGCTCCTTTTTAAATCTCCGTTAAAAGCTCCGGGCGAGCTTTTACGCGAAAGCGCGACGCACGGCTCTTTATTCCGTCGCGTCACGCGGTCCACACAGTTTTCGGAGACGCGCCGGATACAAATGCTCCCGGCTGTCAACAGTACCGTGGCTTCACTGGATGCGTAGCGGTCGGGGAAAGATTGTTGCTAGAATGACGAGCGAGATTCGAGCAGCGTAACATATACAAAGGAAACGACGACGGTCGCGATTTATTTCCGCGCAAACTTGCGTCTCGTAACTCCGGTCTGTTGTTAGGTAACGCATCCGAGAGATATATAGAGCGAGCGCTAAAAAGAGATGCAGATGCATCTTTTGTTTCAATTTATTTTTTGCAAACTTAAAGCAACGGTAGATAGCAATAAGATGTTAAAGAATCTATTTCGCGAAAAATTGCAATTTTTATTTATATATGAATAAAAAGAACAAATTTTTATTATATATTACGTATTTTATAAGAATACGCAAGCTCTCTATTTTATAATTACAAACAGAGAAAGAATGAAGGAGAAAGGTATTTTTATAAAAAAATTTAAATATTTTTTGTTTTCACGTTATATTACAAACACTGCGAAAAATAATATATCGAAATGATATAGAAAAACACGCAGTGCAAAATAATATTGAAATATTATATTTTTATCTTTCATCAAATAATCCGTTAAATATAAAGCAACTTCATTATCTGTTTCTTTATCAAAAAAATTAATATGGAAATATTAATAGTACATGATGAGATTTATGATATTTCGCAAAATTAAGAAGCATCCTGTGTTCTTTCTTCTGCGTTTTCTATTTTTCTCTCTTTTCCTCTTCAGCTTTAATTAATATTTCAACGACAAGAAATAATAATTTCTGCGTTGGATATTTATTCGTTCGTCAGAATAAGAGAGCTGAAACATCTTTATGCATCACATAACGCGAAAAAAATGTCTTCTTTGCTCGATTCTCACTCGAGAATGTTTTATAGACACCCTGTGCGAATTGCATCGCGTCGCGCGACGAGTTTCTTTTAATTTTCGCAGTATTTATCGACGCTTTTCATTAGGAGGATATATTTTAATCCCGCTCTCTTTTCGGATGATACAGTCGGTTTGATGTCTCGTCGAGTTGCTTCCAGTCGAATAGTAAAAAACGCAAGCGGTGGCGCGAGCGCAAGACACGAACGTCAATTTTGGTAGTTGGAGCTCGGCCAGAATTGTGTGTCACGGGATCGATCGAAGATGCTCTTGGCAACTGGAAGCTGCGTTAGAAAGGGAGGCGGCGTCTCGACACACACATCCCTCCAATCTTTTTACTCGCTATACTTTTACGAGCGCGACACGGTAAGCGTTTTAAAAAAAAATAGCCCCTGACGCGAAATTCAGAATTATTTCTTCGTATCTCGATATCGTATTAAGAGGGACTGCACTATCCTCTCAATATTTATATTATGCATCTGCATATATTTTTTAGAGTTATAAAGGATCCTTTATATAATTTATAACCTTGTATAGATGACAGAGAGAGAGAAAAATTTTCCTCTCTTTAATTTTTGTTCTGCTGTAAACTGTATAAAGAAAGATCAAAAAACTACATTAGATGAATGTAATTATATCTAAAGCAAAACATCTGCGTTTTCCGTCCACTTAGCATATAATATAAAAAATCCTATGTCTCTCTAAGTGCACATATCATTCAACAATAGATGAATTAACAGTTGCAGTCTATTAATTTACTAATATTAAAGCAATGAGCCTTCTATTGATTACACTAGCAGCAAAAATGGTTGGTAAAGAATTTAATCTACTTGTTTTGGTATTTACGTTTGACGAAAGGCATTAAAATATTTTTTCGCCGATTAAAACCGATCGAGAGAGCGCGATGATTTGTTATTTTGAGCAAAATTTAATTAGACGAAACCGCGTTATTAGAGCAGAAACGCGCTTATCTACGCGCGTATAGTGCAACGCGTTTATTTGATCCTTGTCGCGTAATAATCATCATGATAAATTCATTGGCGCGCGGTATTATCGCGCAAAATTGAATATCAATGCGCGTAACAGGATATAGTTACTTACCACCTTGGATGGAGATCGCGGTAATACTCGTGTCCCCGCCCTTAATCTGCACGTTTCCTCGATACCAGATGATCGAGGCAGCCGGTTTGGCCGATCTGACGATGCATTCTACTCGTCGTGACTCTCCCACCTTCACCTCGATTACCTGCTTATTCGGATGACTGCTGATCTCGACCTTTCGCGGTAACGCTGAAAAAAGGAAATTTCGTAAAACGTTATTATAATAAACCTTATTATTGCAATTTTTATATAAATATATTCGCTCGCACATAACGTCGCCAGCAAAGTTCCTTTGTATATTATTCATACATAATTTGGTTATTTAAAGAATGAGGCAACAATTCTCATTAACTCGATTGGCCAAGCTTTTCCACCTTACAATAATTACAAATTATTATTAGTATATTTTATATAACGTTTTAAGCCATTAGATATTAAATATCTCAGTAACTGAATCTTAAATTAAGACTTTACTTAAGTCCACTGAAAGTTAATTAAGAAATGGAAGTCTCTTATCTATTTAGCAGGCTTCTGCATCTTGTTTCGCGGAAGAGTTTATTTTCGCTCGCTCGAAAATAAAAGTGCTTCGACTTTTTATATACGTATATATATATATATTTTGCGCGAATGTTGTGTATATTTTATTCTTAAATATCTAATGTACCAGACTGAAATTTTTCGCGACAATCTCTTATTTTTGCGACCCAGCGGGATCGTCAACACGTAGTAATCATGATATCATTAATTTTACACGGTTATATCCGGTTAAGCGTGACATGGGTGGTATTTAAAAACAAAACTGTAAGCGTTGCGTGCCCCTAAATCGTCGTTTCGAATAAATCGCGCATATCGTATACATAGATTTTCGGACATTTTGGGGTGATAAACGACGCAATCTGCTGATTTCGAGCGATCCGCGTTTGCTCTTGTTTTATAGCGCTCGCTTTCCGTGTACCAATCTCTCTTTCTCTCCTTCTCTTCTCATCCATGAGTTAATTTAATGTCAGAATAGCGTGCGCGATTTATTGCCGGATTCTATTAAGCGCATATAGAAAACCGTGCTCGTCGGTGCAATAATTATATATACGGGGTGTGGCCCTATATGCGTAAATGCGTAATCGCATTTAACTTGATCGAATTGCTTCCACTTATGCGCAATAACTCGCGGAGAATGTGACTATATCAGAAAGTGTACGCATTCTACGAAACGGGAGGATATTATAAACGCTGATGATATCGTGAAAAAAAAAAAAGATCGACACTCTCTCTCCTTCGGTAATTAAACTTTCATTTAGATTGCAATCGTATAAAAATAGATACCCAGTTATTTAAAGAAACATCTTTTTGATTATAAATTTGTTTAAGCAAACGCGTTCTATAATATCTTGAGATGGGTCATTTTTTTCCGTAAAAAGTTCAAAAATTTTGGTAGTAAAAGTGTCGTGCAAATTTATTGAAATTTATGATTGCGTATATTTTTCGATGAGATTCGATAGAGTGATGTTTCAAAAGCGAAAAGTAAAAAGTGAGAATATTCATTGACAATCACGCAACTGACTCGCTGATTCGAGTTTAATGATTATACTATTGACCTCTATTTTCGTCGTTAACAATGCAATCTTTTTTTCAATTTATTACGATCCTATTATAAATTGAAAAGCCGTCATTGAAATATGTTGTCGAGAAATACTTGTGCATCCCATTCAGCCATTCGTATTCGATCGCTCGACAATGTATCAATTCGCTATTGATACGGCTGAATGCAACACGTATTTCGTACATCCGATAAATAAAATCTGCATTATGATACCGCCGCCATCCCAATAGAACTTTATATTTTTCTCGTTAATAACATTTTATTTGGCGTCGCGCACTTTACATATCATATAATTTCGCAACGAATTCGAGTACATATAAAACGATTAATTTTTTCGAAATTGTACATTACATAAATATTTCAATAATATACGCTGCATATATTATAAAAATGCTGCAGCCATTTAAAGTCGGCTAAAAAAATTGGAAAGAATTAAATTCTGGCAAATTCGTAGCTTGAGAATCGATAAAAGTTTGATCAGTGAAAATTGAAGAAGAGATTCGGTATATATTTGACCCACTATTTCACTGATCTCTATGACGCGAAAAATTTCAAACTTGTGCAAGAGATGACAGGAATGCTGCTTGCTTTCTCCTCCCTTCTTCGTGAAAAATTCACTCAAACAACTCGGTCGTTTGTGTAAAGGAAGAGATCCTTGATCGAAGGCCAAACACACATTTTCGCGCGAGCGGTTCCATTTTTACGGCATGACTAGCGTAAGAGACACTTTACGTAGCCGAACGACAATGACGACGACGACGACGACGTCGAGGAAAAGGAAAAGGAAAGAGCTAGCGCCGGTTACCAGGCCGCTACGCCGTCTGCCTCCCCGAGTTTATATTGGCAGTAGCTCGGGAAATCCTCCGGGGGATGCACGCGCCGAGCTACTTTACCGCGTTACTTCCGGAAGCCACTTCGTCACCGCCGGACCTCCGATATAGCGGCTCTCGGTCGACGCGGCACCGGAGCTTCAGGACCCATTTACCGATCCGAGATAAATTTTCCCACTTCGATATTCCCCCCAGGCGTATTCGAGGGAGTCGCGTTCATCTTCGGACGGCGAGTGTATTCCGCTACGATGCACCGGCGCCGATATAAAGCACCCGCAGAGACAAACGCAGTGTAGAGGTAATGGTCGTTACGCGTGCATTTCCTGACGGCGGTAACTGGGAACATTCTCCTTCTCTATGTTTCCCATCCCCTATCCCGTATCTTATTGTTGTCCGAGAGAAATTGCTCGCGATGCTGCTTTCAACACTTAAATGTACTGTGTACCGTACTGTGTATTGTCCTAGTATGTTTTTCATGCGCGAATCTCAGTTTACCAAACTCTGCTCCTGACGCGGAAAATTCATATTTTAATAACGATTTAATTAACAATTTTCGATAAAAGGGGAATGCCTTTATTTTTGCATCGACGCACACACAACACGTATTATTATATCTTTTCAATTTTCATGTAAAAAGAGAGCGTCGAAATTTTAATAATTATATATAATAAAAATAATTATTACTCTTTTTTTTTTTTTTTTTTTTTTTGAAAATATCTTACACATTTTTTTGTGCTCTAATAATTCTTTTTTCATATATTTACTTTTCATATATTTCTTGTTACATATTGAATTCTTCTTCTAGGAAGAGAATGCAAAGCATTTTTCCTCATATATATTTTATATATCATGTGGAATGTCTTTTCCCCGATAACTTTTGCGTCGAGTTGATATCACGAGTTTTTAATTTTCAATATTGCATATCTTGCACGATATTAAGCTCGAAATGGTTAAAGCCTTGGTTGAAATAGCGGAGAAGCAATTACTATTGATATGCGTAATAAAACGCTATTACTGTAATAGCGCTAGTGAGCTGAATTAAATTCAAATTAGAGCGTTAAAGAGAACGCGACAGTTAACGCACCTAACGTGTTATCTTCGATATAAACCGGTCTCGAGAAATCTGCATCGCTAATGCAACGTAAATGACCGTCATTTTTGAGAAAAATTTTTGTAGATTCACATTTGGTTATAGTTTTACGGCGCTAAGTGAAATGAGAGAGAATTTATTGATCAATATTTGAAGTAAACCATTAACATCGGTAATTAGCAATCGTTTACGTCACTTTTAACGCGAATCACGATCATCTTTGAAAATATTATGGAAATTGGCTCGGAATTACTAGAGATTCTCGGTCCACGTCATAAATAATCTCTTATAGATCCGGTCTTGACATCTACTCTTCCGAGTAAGAAAATACAGAACGTTAAAGTGTAATTATTCTCATTTATGAATTACGATCGCGAAATAACGTGTATAATATGCAAGAGAACATGAATCAATTAAGCCATTACATTTTTTACGCATAAAACAGAATCTTGAGCTCTCGCGTAAAGTTATATCCCGATAAAAAATATTGTAGTTAATTGTATTTAACATATATTTTATCGATATGTATATTGTCAACGGAATATTACTATATTTACATGTGTAACAAGAAAATTTCAAATTTACAATCGCAATTGAAAAAAATTGTATCGTCAACTTGACTATTTTGCAGCTATTTTAACAATATCCGTTATAAAATCGAAATTGCAACTACAATGTGAAAAATTGTGTGTGTATGGATGCATACGCGGAGTTTGTAAATATTTAAACAAATTTATACACATATATATATATATCGAACATAGGATCTCTTCGAAACAACATTTATTTTTTCTATTTGCAATTATATTTATTTTTCAAACGCATTGAACTTTTCATCTTCATCGTTTTTCAACGTTTTTAACAATTTCCGCGAAACGGAATGAATATATCCTAGAATAATTAAGATTTAAATATATAAAATCATTGAAAGAGAATCGCGAAGCTTTCCGGCGTCCATTCTGTCTCGTTTGCATGAATCTCTCTCGAGATACGGTATATAAAATAACAATCTCGGGAACAATGCGTGTCGTAGAATAAAGATGCCAAACGGGGTGCGAAGTAAAGACAAATGGAGACATCGTTTTCCCTCCTCGGATAACATCATCGTTACAAAACGAGGTAGGGACGAGAAGACAGCGTCAATTATTCGCTAAATGCTTATTTAGGCGTCGTTGCCATCGGTCCCCTCTATTCAATCTTCCATTTCATTTTCGCGTTTCTCTCTCTCTCATCCTTTTCCCTTCTTTAGGACAGCGCAGGACAGCGACACCCTTCTTGGTTCCTTATCTCCTACGAGAGAAGCGTAATCGCGTCTCAGAGCGACGAAGAGGCGCAAAAGTCGAAGGATTGTTCTAATTACGCGAGGATCGGGAGGATACACGGGGAGGAAAGGGTTAAGGGATGAAGAGGGAAGGGAGATTATACAGGCGAGAATATTTCACAGAATCCCTCGAGCGAATATCTCGACCCGAGCCGAGGAATTTATCCTCGCCTTTATGCACGAACGCGCCCTCCTTCCTCGTAAGTGGATTCGACCGGGATTTATAGGCTAATGATCGTTACGGCTTCCGATTGCACGCGTTTGCGCTAGTAATCGTCCTTCGAAGAGCGCACGCTAAACGCGCTCCGTCCAGAGAGATATTACCCGAGAAACTTCCTAATCTCGACAGGC